AATGTAAGCCCAACGACCCAAATATAGATATGGAAAAGCTCCTGTCAGCTCATGGGCTCATGGAACAGTGTAAGCACAACGACCCAGATTGAATTTGGACCGATTCAATGATCACAATTGTATTTCGTAATTGAATTTTAATTTTTTTTCTACAAATTCAAACTAGTTGAAATTTGGATCGTCTAATCTTCAAGAATAGTTGAATCTAATAAAAATATCAAAAAAATAATTCGCATAAATTAAATTGACCAAAATACCTATGAAAGGTTTCAGGGGTATTTGGATCAATTTAGTTTATGTGAATTATATTTTTAATATTTTTATTAGGTGTGCCTTGATGAGAAGAGTTTATGCTCTAAATTTCATGCTATTTGGATTTATATAAAAAATATTAAAATTATATTACCGATATACAGTCCTGACTATCAGATTGACCTAGATTCAATATGGGCTGTTGGGCGTACACTATTCCATGAGCCCATGGGCTAACCCTAGCATCTTCCATACATATATATATGAAGATGCTAGGGTCAGCCTACTAGCTGTTGAAATAGTACACGTCGAAAAGCCTAGATTAAATCTGGGCGATCTGATAGTCAGGACTGTATTTCGATAATATATTTTTAATATTTTTTTATATAAATCCAAATAATATAAAACTTGGAGCATCATCTCTTCTCATCAAGGCGCACCTAATACATATATTAAAAAATAATTTGTAAAAAATAAATTGACCAAAATACCACTAAAACATTTCAGAGGTATTTTGGTCAATTTATTTATTCAAATTATATTCTTTGAAATTTTTGTTAGATTTCAATAATTTTGAAGAATAGACGCTCCAAATTTCAAATGATTTGGATTTGTTTAAAAAATATTAAAAAAATTTAAATTACGAAATACAACTATGATCATTGCAATGGCCCATATTCAACTATAACGACCCCGAGAATTCTAAGTCAGAATATGGGGAAACGACAGACAAGGCAGGGAGTTTCTAGGGGTGGCACCGGCTGCGAAGTGAGAGTGTCAACGTCGGCTGTTTTGTGAGGAGGGGTAATGCCGTTTGGAGGGGTAAGAGTGAGGTAGCGCCGTGCGTGAACGAACAGAAGGAACTATCGTCGTGCGCGTAAGAGACTATCGTCGTGCGTGTAAGAGATTCACGTCACACGCGTAAGGGACTATCGTCGCGTGCATAAGGGACTATCGCCATGCGCGTAAGGGACTATTGCCACGTGCTTAAGAGACTATCACCGCACACGTAAGGGACTAACGCCATGCACGTAAGGGACTACCGCCGCACGCGTAAGGGACTATCGCCACGCGCGTAAGAGACTATCGTCGCACGCGTATGGGAGAAATGTCGTGCGCATAAGGGACTATCGTTGTGTGCATAAGGGACTATCTCCCCAGGCGTAGGGACTATCGTCACGTGTGTAAGGGACTAACGTCATATGCGTAAGGGATTATCACCGTGTGTGTAAGGGACTATCGCTGCGCTCGTAAGAGACTATCGCCTCGAGCGTAAGAGACTAACGTCGTGCATATAAGGGACTAACACCGTGTGCTTCAAGGAGGCTAACGTCGCGTGTGAGTGAAACATAGAGTATCGCCATGTACATAGCACCAGCTACGTCTTGTTGTGCATGGCTAGTGTTGCCACTTGCCCAGGTTCATGGGAGTGGCTCGCCACCTGTCAGCCTTAGGCTGCTACCTGCCAACTGAGGAGTATTTAAGCCCTCTTCTTTCCCCTCATGCCACTACTACCCTCACTCTCTCATCCCTTCTTTCTCTCGAAGGCAATTGGAGGGCTTGAAGGAGGCTCCCTTAACTCACTATTAGAGCAGCCAGTAGGAGAGTTAAAGAGGACTGTAGGAGTAGAATTTGGGAGTTTTGTGCATCTAAGGTAAGTGAATTTGGAAGTATGTATCATAAGTATTTTGCGCATGATGTTTGGATATGTAAGAATGAGCTTAAAACCTTGAAATCTGTATGCTAGAATTCCATGATTGTATAACCTTTGTGAATAGTCAAATGCTTGCTAAATGGTTCTGTAAATTCCGTCTAGAGAGAGTAAATTTTCACTGTTTGTCAACTGTGGGTTGAAGGATATTGCTGTGGATGGGTTATGCTTATGCATGTATTAAGAGTTTAGGGAAAACAAAAGGGAAAAATGAATTTTCAGGAACTATAGGTGTTTTGTATCCAATAGTTTAGTAACCAAACGGGGTCTGAATGGGCTCAAATCAGTTTTGAATGAAAGCTATATGTGTCTACTACAAATTTTACTCTTGTAAATCATGATATTTTTTTTATGTTAGGATTTATACTTTAATATGTGAGACTATGTCACTGTTAACAGAGAGCGGAGATTCCATCCACTGTTGTCTACTTTGCACAAAACTTTTGAACAACTGATAAGTGTCCATATTCTTTCCAACTACCACCATTTGAACCGTGTGTGTGTCCACTACAATTTTCATGTTAAAACCATGTTCAAATTATTCATAAATGAGAAGCTATATCTTAATTATGTAAATAGGTCACTGTAGAGAGTTTTAAAAAATTGTAGAACTAATTTTTCGATTGTCATGCATTTTAATAGACCAAATGATACCGTTTTCTTCCAAACTATAGTCATTTTAAAGAATTATAAGTAAGCTTAAAATCACATGTTGAGCACATTTTGAAATTCCCTGGAATTTAAGAGTTACACTATTAAATATGAAGATATGTCATTGTAGATATTTTTCTTAAGAACTCAGAATTGATGTCACAATATCACCGAGTTTGATTGACCAAAAGAGATCCTTTTTCTCTTAAACCACCACCATTTGAAGGTTTATGGGTACACTTAAAATTGCATGTAAGGACTTTCTTGAAAAATTCCCTAGATTGGGAGTTACGCCTATCTTACGGGGATTATGTCATTATTGACAGAACTTTCCATAAATTGTGCATTTTATGAGTGTGAATGCTATTTAGTGAATGTAATGTGACATTCATCTGCTAATTGGAAATTTCATATAATGAAGGCCAAATAGTGAAATTTTATGTGTTGGCAATGTGAAAGGCATAAGCACCAAAGTGATGACTGCTAAGTGAAGTATGATCTGACGGCATGCTTCAAGTATGACCTTCTTTTGTGTTCGATAATATTGAAGTGATTCAATGACGCTACACACGGGTTACCCGTGG